ATTAGATCTCAGTGAAAAAATATCCCAGGCTACGTCTACACTGCAGGCTTTTTGTGCATGAACAGCTGTTCTTGCGCAAAAATTTGTGGAGCGTCTATACTGCATGTGTGTTCTTGTGCAAGTAAATTTACAGTAAAGCATCAGAAGAGAGGGCTTCTTGCACAAGAGTTATTCCTCTCCCTACGAGGAATAAACCCTCTTGTGCAAGAGCTCTTGTGCAAGAAGGCAGTGTGGACAGGCAACAGAGGTTTCTTGCGCTAGAAACCCCTATGGCTAAAACGGCCATCAGAGCTTTCTTGCTCAAGAGAGCATCCACACTGCCAAGCACAACTCTTGTGCAAAAGCACATGACAGTGTGAACGCACTCTTGCACAAGATCTTTTGCGCAAGAACTCTTGTGCAAAATAGTTCTTGCGCAAGAAGCCTGCAGTGTAGACATAGCCCCAATGTTTATAACTGCCTGTTGGGTTCTTCATAATATCTGTGAGGCAAAGGCCACTTCGTGGGTGGAGGTGGAAAAGCTGTCTGCTGACTTTGAACAGTCAGTCACAAGAGCTATTACAAGAGTTCAGTGTGGAGCTATGCAACTGGAGGCAGATTTGAAAGAACACTTTAACAGTAAGCCACAACAGTCTTACATGCTGCAGTGTTGTCTGAGCCTGGAGCTTTGAGTGCTACTAAGAACTGTAACAAAATACAGGACTATGTAGCACTTTAAAGACTAACAAGATGGTTTATTAGATGATGAGCTTTCGTGGGCCAGACCCACTTCCTCAGATCAAATAATGGAAGAAAATAGTCACAACCATATATACCAAAGGATACAATTTAAAAAAAATGAACACACATGAAAAGGACAAATCACATTACAGAACAGAAGGGAGATGTGGGGGGGAGGAAGGTGAATGCCAGTGAGTTAATGATATTAGAGGTGGGGAAGGGGAAATGTCTGTGAGTTAATAGTATGTGAGTCTTTGTTAATTCCCCTGCGGAGAGTGTCGAATTTTAGCATGAATGCCAGTTCAGAGGATTCCCTTTCAAGTGCAGATTTGAATGTCTTCTGAAGTAGGATGCAGGCATTCATGCTAAAATTCGACACTCTCCGCAGGGGAATTAACAAAGACTCCAACTATCTTACCCATTACAAAGATAGCTTCCCCAATTATCACCTCTAATACTATTAACTCACAGACATTTCCCCTTCCCCGCCTCTAATATCATTAACTCACTGGCATTCACCTTCCTTCCCCCACCCCACATCCCCCTTCTGTTCTGTAATGTGATTTGTCCTTTTCATGTGTGTTCATTTTTTTAAAATTGTATCCTTTGGTATATATGGTTGTGACTATTTTCTTCCATTATTTGATCTGAGGAAGTGGGTCTGGCCCACGAAAGCTCATCATCTAATAAACCATCTTGTTAGTCTTTAAAGTGCTACATAGTCCTGTATTTTGTTTCAGCAACACCAGACTAACACAGCTACATCTCTATCACTAAGAACTGTGTAATCCTTGGTGTACATTTATAAATATGACTAGAGTTTTTTTCTGAAGCTATAAATTCTGTGATGTTTAATGTGCAATTACAAGTACTATTTGCTTTCACTGCTGCTATGAATTCTGCAATATTTGTTGTAAACAAATAACGGTAATTTGATTATCCAGAAATAGAACTTAGAGTGGGGAAAAAACAGTGCAGAAAATCAATGTGCAAATAAAACCATAAGCAATGTTATGCACAATTTTAATATAACTTAATGGGGTTAAAGTTAGAAAGGAGATCAATATTTATGTTCATTTGAGTAAACAAATGTAGTCCACTGCACTACACATACACCAATCCAGGTTTTCACAAGTCAGTGAATGTGAAGCTGAGGTTTTCCTTGCAGACACCTAGGCCATGTCTGCACTAGGAAAGTATTTTGAAATTACTAAATTCAACTTAATAACTCTCAAGTTAACAAATTTGAACTAGCATGTTTATACTATGGGGAAGCCTCAACATTAATCCGGATGCACTATCTTGAATTTAGAGCCCCAAGAAACACTGGGGAGTAATTAGTTCGAATGACTCTGGAGATTAATTATTTTGAAATAGTGGCACTGGAGAGTCCACACTACCATTATTTTGAAATAACTATTTTTGAACTAGTTTTACTCCTGATGAAAAGCAGGAGTACAGATTTCAAATTCCGCAACCTGTTATTTTGAAATAATGGGTGTGGTAGTGTGGACGATCCACTTATAAATTCGAGCTTGTGGGGGTTATTTTGAAATAAAGGCCTAATGTAGATCAGGGCCTAGTGTGGATTGGTAGAATAATGATGTACCCCATGAAGCCATGTTGTATGTTTGAGAATAGTGGTAGAAATGTAGCCGTGTTAGTCTGGTGCAGTTGAAACAAAAAACAGGACTGTTTAGCACTTTAAAGACTAACAAGATGGTTTAATAGGTGATGAGCTTTCGTGGGCCAGACCCACTTCCTCAGATCAAATAGTGGAAGAAAATAGTCACAACCATATATACCAAAGGATACAATTAAAAAAATGAACACATATTAAAAGGACAAATCAAATTTCAGAACAGAAGGGGGATGGAGGGAGGGGGGGAAGGGCGGGAGAGGTAAATGTCTGTGAGCTAATGATATTAGAGATGATAATTGGGGAAGCTATCTTTGTAATGGGTAAGATAATTAGCGTCTTTATTCAAATTTGCGTGTAAAGTGTGGGTAAGATAGCTAGGGTCTTTGTTAAGACCCACGCGTAGAGTGTCGAATTTTAGCATGAATGACAGTTCAGAGGATTCCCTTTCAAGTGCAGATTTAAAAGGTTTCTGAAGCAGGATGCAGGTAATTAAGTCGTTGAGAAAGTGTCCTTTCTGGTTGAAATGGCAAGCAACTGTTTTTTCTAAGTGATCCTGTCTAATATCTGTTTTGTGGGCATTGATCCTTTGGCGAAGTGTCTGAGACGTTTGTCCAATGTACAAAGCAGACGGACACTTTCGGCACATGATAGCATAAATTATATTTCTGGATGCGCAGGAATATGTGTTCTTGATCTTATAACTCACTTGGTTGGGTCCAATAATGGTATCAGCAGAGTGAATATGTGGACAAATCTGGCAACAGGGTTTGTTACAAGGGAAGGTACCAGGGTTGGCAACTTAAACCTGTCCAACACATTATCAATAAACTACAGCCTATACTGGAACAGGATACTAAACTCCGAGAGGCTCTGGGAGGCAGACCCATAGTCTCCTGTAGACAACCACCTAACCTCAAGATGATTCTTACCAACAACCACAGGACATACCACACTAATACCAACCCTGGTACCTTCCCTTGCAACAAACCCTTTTGCCAGCTTTGTCCACATATTCACCGCCTCTTCCCCCTTATGCCCTTTCTCCAAAACAGGCTGGAGGTTTGTGCCAGGCTGTGTTAAGAGCAGCCCAGGGAACCCAAAAGCTCCATCTGCCCTGGACAGCATGTCTTGGGGAGCAGAGACATGGGCCAATGATTGCTTTGGCATTTTGGCTCCCTGCTCAGGGCAGGTGGAGGGTCTGGGGCTCCCCATACCATCCTGGGCAGTTCTTACCACTGCCTAATTTCAGCTTGCAGCCTGGCCAGGGGCTGGAGTCTTAGGGGAAGAGGAAGAGTGGAGGTGGCCACAGTGCCAGTGCCTCCCCCCACAACTACACAGGTTCCAGTCTTCTGCCCCTTGGAACAGCTGCTGGAGGTTATTAGAGTTGACATAGGTCCTGCCCTATCTATACTTACATTGCGGTGACCTCAGTAAATCGATCATGGCCCTGTGCTGTTTGGTTAGGTGATTTTACTGCACTGCCGTAACGAGGAGCTTATGTCATCTGGAGATAAATTTAAGTGTATACATATGCAAATAAGTTGGCACACCTACCTTGCAACTTACCTTGATCTAATTTTGTAGTGTAGACCAGGCCTTAGTTGTGTTGGCAGAACTGTGTAGAGATTCAAGGTGGTGAAGTAGCAAATGGAAAGTACAGAGGGAAAGCTTCCATAGCCAGAACTGTTGGGTTTTGCTACATCATTTTAAAATACTGGTAACCACTCCAAACAGGGAATCTAAACAAAAATATACACATTTTTATGTGCTATTCACTCTAGTTTTTATTTCTAAAATGCTTAGAAGAAAATTAAGTAGTGCGCATGGGGTGGATTTCAAACTTTGATAAATCCTGATGTAAATTATAATAATTGTCCAACCATGGGTATGAAATCCTGATGTAAATTATAATAATTGTCCATACCAAGCTTTGAAGTATTCTAGCTAGTTTATTCTGATAAAATACTGAGTTTTGTATCATGACTACATTTTACACAGAACAGCCATTTTGTTGCTTCTTTCTTTTCCCAGCCCTGAAATGCCTGAAAATGAAGCTACATTTACAATAACTGCTGGAGGGATTGGGGATGCCAAAGAATAGATGGAAAAACTGGTGAAAATCTCCGTTGGAAACAGCTTGTGAATCTCAGACGAAGCCATGGTATCCAAGGTCTGACTCCTTGGTTACTTGGAATTTTTCCATACACAGTTTGGAATGTTTACAGTTAGAGGAATGCTGGGAAGAGCTTTTTACGTATCATATTTCAATAATCTTAACAGTTCCTGGGTCACCTTAGTTCTATTTTAAAAAGATCTTTCAAGTAGCCACATGTTTAAGAAGCACAGAAATATGACTTATGCATGGTTCACGAGAATCAAAGTTGTTGTATCACATGGGTTTAATATTCCTTTCCTAAGAAACTATAAAAAAGTGCACATCTGGAAGAGAATACAGTGGCATGGAATGGAACAGCACTGTGAAATATAGGGTTTTTTTTAAATAGTGGAGTAACTAGTAGAGGAGGGTTTTTTTTAAATAGTGGAGTAACTAGTAGATAGAGGGAAAGTGCAGTGAAAGAAATAAGAATAGGTGAACTTGCTAATGTTTCATTGACAGTTGTTTGAAAAGATTTTTTAAAATCTTGATAGATTGTTTACTTGTTTTTAAAGTGCCCGTATTTCTATTTTGGAACATTTAAAGCTGTTATTTATTTTTTATATCTGAAAAATGATAAATTAAATCATCTTCCTTCTTTATGCTTGTGTGCAATACAGCCACCCTTTAATTTGATAAAGCGCCTGGTGCTGTGAGTTGTCTCACTGATTTTGTTGTGAGAATTTGCATGAGTAAATTGAATGGGATATAGCACAACATTATAAAATTTTAAATTTGTAAAAAAAAACATTGTATTTAACATGGGGGGAAGTGATTCTTCAGTTTTTCATCTTACTTCAGCTAAGAATGAGGCTACAGAGATCCTCCCTGCAACTGAGGAGAGATGATGGGATGGAGCTCACTGGTGCCTGACACATAGTGTTATTAAGATTTGTTCCTTTGACCAAAGCAACAGAGTGCACTCACTCCCTTCTTCTGCACTTGCTCTAAGCTACAGTTTTCCAGACTTTTTCAGAGTGAAGAGCATTTTAATAAGTAAGAATATCTTGTGGAACACCTCTTTCCCATTTTCAATCACATAATTTGTGGCATCAACAGCAGTTCCTCTCTTAGAAAATATTAGGAAAGTATATAATGTATTTTTAACCACCTTTCAATACAAGGAAGAGACTCAGTGCCAGGAGATGAATAGGTGATAACACATCCTGTGAAACACAACATAGAAGACTCCATGGTGGCTATGGGGACACCACCTTTAGCACAAAGCTGGAGAGAGTCCACTCCAGACATTCTCTTTTAAGATGTGATCCAAAACAGGAAAAAAATTGAGCACCACTAGATTATAGAATTTGGTGCTATGTCTGGATCAAAGGTTGGCAAAGCATAAGTTCTTGAGAGTCACATGAAACTCTAGATCAGGGTTTCCCAAATTATTTTGGCCATGGATCCCTTACAGAGTCCTAAAAATATCATGATTTTTAATTCAACAGAATTAAAGAAATAAAAATAAAATTCCAAAACTTTCTTATAATTTTTTTCAAGTAAACTATCAGAAAATTAGTAACAAAATAACAGGGTCATTACTAGAGATAAAATGTTTGCATATTTTAATTGAAGAGTGAACTTGGGTTTTTTTCTCCTTTGCAAATCCATTTAATATCAGGAATGATGCTGGAAACCTTGATTCTGATATTAGGTGCAGCATCAAGTGTGTTCCTACCTTTTGTATTTTTCGAGGCATAATACAAAAATCCAATTTCACAAAAATATCTTTCAGTGAAGGGAAGAAGCTCACAAAATGCATGTTTTGCAACACTTGGGTACTCTTGAATCAGATTGCTTCAAAAATTAATTAGTGGAGTGTGACAGGGTGTGCATACCCCACACTAGAACAGGAGGGGTGAAAACCCTGTGGGTGGAGGGAGTCATAAGAACATAAGAACGGCCATACTGGGTCAGACCAAAGGTCCAAATAGCCCAGTATCCTGTCTGCCGACAGTGGCCAATACCAGATGCCCCAGAGGGAGGGATCACAATACGTAATCCTCATGTGTTCCCTCCTCTGTCACCCACCTCCAGAGAAACAGAGGCTAGGGATGCCATTCCTACCCATCCTGACTAATAGCCATTGATGGAGTAACCCCCATTAATCTATCTAGTTCTTTTTTGAATCCTGTTAAAGTCCCGCCCCTTCAACCAGACTGGGCATGCTCCAAGTGCTGGGGCAGCATAAAAAGCAAGAGAGCAGCTCAGCGATGGTCCAGCGAAAGGGAAGGACCTCCAGCCAGAGCTCCAGAGCTGCAATGGCCAGTGATCCAGATAGTGGGAACCGCCAGCCAGAGCTCCAGAGCTGCAATGGCCAGTGATCCAGATACTGGGAACCGAAGTTCCAGGAAACTGCCACTACTCAGCCCCAGCAGAGCCCTAGGGAAAAGCCACAAGTAACATTGCAAGCCCTGTCATGTCATCCAGCTGCAATGATTACACATCACAAAATCGCAGTCGAGAAACTAGGTCTTTCTCGATGTGAGCAGCAAGATCTTGAATGTGACACGCAACACTACTGTTTGACAACAGCACTACTTTCAGTTTTTTTAATGTATTGCTCATTGAGCATACACATCACAGTATCTTTTGTACAAGGCTTGATGAGTTTTTCTGCAATTGTATGTGCTTCTCCAGCAAGTGCAATATGGTAGCTCACTTTGTAGATTGCTTCGGTTGCTTTTTCATTGTCCAAATTAGTGATATTCATCACTGAAAGTTTACTATTTGAAAGTGCATCAAGCTTTCACTTGGAAAATGCATGCCTTTGTCTTTGTGTTCAGTTTATCATGGAACTATTGAAGAGCACTTCGTTGCACACCACACACTGTGCATCAGGAGCATCTTTATTTCCAATGTCTGAAAGACAAATAACTCTCATCATGCTTGCATTTTTTGTTGGCTGTTGCTAACTCAGTGGATGAGAGTGATTTCATCTTTGAGAGCTCACTTTCTGATTTTTCAGTCACAAAAGGCTGTGATTGCCCTTTTCCTGTCCCGACATTTGCTCATTTGTTCCAGTGAAAGTCAACGTTGTTTTTCTGATTTTTCAGTCACAAAAGGCTGATTGCTCTTTTCCTATCCCGACATTTTGCTCATTTGTTCCAGCGAAAGTCAACGTTGTCTTTTTTAGCCACTTACCCATGGAGAGTATGTTTGGTAATAAGGGGAGGCAACGATGTATTGTGAAATGCTGAATAAAAACACAGCGTGAAGAGCAGTGTATTGCAACGGGATTTTGTCAGAAAAAAGCATGAAATAAATATTTTAAATTTTTGACATGTGAAGAACTAGGTCAGATTGTTGAAGCATCTTCTAGTATACGTTATCATGCCTGCAGCTTGCACACAACTTTTTATATGCTACTGCAGTGCTCCTATATCTACGTAAGCTGGAGCTTCAGTGTTTTATCAAGCTACACATAGTTTTATATAGCCCCTACTCCCATTTCATGTTGCAATGTTGCACTTATTTATTGAATATCACAACAATAATTCTCAATATAATAAAGTGGGGGCAGCACACAAAGTCTCTCCCTTTCCCACCAAGTACAGCGCAGAGAGGCACATGGAGGGAGCAGCCAGGCTGTGGCAGGCAGGGCAGGCCAGATCCAAAGGCTAGGCAGGCTGGATCCAGTCTGTTGGCCATATCTTGCCTGCCCCTGTGTTAAAGTCAGAGGTGAAAGTAAGGTGGTGAGCCCAAGTGTGCCACTCTGGTAAGAACTGGCTGTGCTCCACCAAAAGCCAGCTGGGGCACTCTGCCCTTGTAAAGGGGCCAGCTGACAGCACACTATAGGGGATGTGTGCACACTCTCTGCCAGGTTAGTGAGAGGGGCTGATGGTGGCAGCTGCTTCAATCTGGCTGTGGTGACCCAGCTTTGGCCTCCATCTGACTGCCGTGGTCTTTCGTCAGCTGCTGTGCTCATGGGGCAGCTTGGTTACGGGATCCCAGGGACTGCCACAGCAGCTTAGCCCCAGCAGCCCATCTCGGGCTCTGGCCGTGGCTCCTGCCCCAGAGGTCTGGCTGTGGCTGTGGTGGCCCACCTTGGGGTTTAGCCATGGTAGCCCGGCTCCAGCCGTGGCAGCCCGGACAACAAGGCCTCAGCTCCCATCTGGCCACAGCGGCCTGTCCCCGGCCCTAATCCTGGGGCAGGCCCCACAGTCTGGCACCCCATCTGTCTGCAGGAAAGGCTGGCGACAACTTCCCATACTGCTCTGGCAGGGTTAGGAGAGGAGGCCACGATCTGGGCACAGTGAACCTGGCCCAGTCCCTTGTCTAGCCACTGCTACCTGGATGCAGCAGCCTAGTCCCAGGGCCCCCTACATACACTACTTTCCAGCCCCCTGCCCTGCCTCCTGAGCCCCCCATAAATCCCCAGACCTTGTGCCCTAACTCCTGTACCCCTTATCCCAGCCCTCTTCCCTGAGCTCCTCATACATCCCATCCCTGACTGCTGCACCCCCATATCCTCAGCCTGCCCTAACACTCCTGTACCCCCCACACTTCAACCCGGTATCCTGTGCCCCTCATACACCTGAACCCCCTGCCTTGAGCCCCTCATAAACTCCAGCCCTGACTCCTGAACTCCCACATCTCCAGCCTCCTGCCCTAACTCCTGCCCCCCACACCCAACCCACTACCCTGAGCCCCTTGCATTCCACCTCCACAAAAAGACCTGCCAAGTCTCCTCCACGCAAGACTCATGACTTTGAGGCTGACTCTCCAGAACAACCACAGAGCAGGGGGAGCCAATATCTGAGGAGGACGACAGATTCTCCCCTCCCCCCCACAATTCAGCTTTATCCCCTAGTGAAGCAATCATCCCTACAACTACACCTCCTATAGGTGACCTAAAGCACTTCCAGGAGTTATTCAAACATATGGCTAATGTGCAGGAGATAGATCTCCAAGAAGTACAGGAGAAACAACACAGGCTTCTCCACATTTTACAACCATCCACATCATCTAAGATAGCTCTCCCCATGGACGAAGCCATACTTGACCTAGCTGATACTACCTGGCAGACACCTGTCGTAGTTAATGCCCACAAACAAAAGGGCAGATAGAAAATATTTTGTCCCTGCCAAGGGTATAGACTTTACTCTTACACAATTTTCAGTAAGGCCAAGGTCATACTCAGACCTCATCCAAAATTCCTCCTGAAAGTCTTCGCACCGTTCCATAATAATGAACCAATCCACTTACCTGCATTCTGTTCAAAGGCGCACAACAATGCGATCAAAGCAGCATTACATACCCTCGATGTCCAACAAGCGATCACTTTTTACCTCGACAGGATCAAGTCCTGGAGGAAATTCACAAGGCTTTTTATCTCCACTGAACACTCGAAAAGGCAAGCTGTCTCCTTGCAACAAATATCAAAATGGATCTCCTCTTGCATCCATACTTGTTATACTATCCATAACAAGCAACTGCCACCTGTTAGCCTTGCTTACACCACCAGAGTGGTGGCATCATCCACTGCTTTCCTTAATAATGTCTTACTTGGGGACATCAGCAGAGCAGCATCTTGGTCTTCTGAACACACATTTGTCAGATGGCACACTCTAACATCTGGTCTAATCCC